TAGCCAACTTTGGGTTGAGATCCGTTGCATAAAATTCCACGTTTCCTAGACCAACCATGTCTATGTAATCAATCACAACTCCAGCTTTGCACTACTTAATGCTAAGCCTGTAGAGATCATCAGAAAATCCCCGTATGACGCCTCAACTACGTCATGTGCAGAACTCTGGTTGGCCGCGAAGGAACAAGATAAAATCTCATACCATGGATGTATGTATTAAAAGGAAGCACGTGCTGGATGTGGTAAACGTCATCAAAGATCTTAAAGGACTAGCGTATCCGTATGAACTCAGATCAGGATGAATACAATTTGTCTTATTTGTTTCTATGTGGCTATGGTTATGTATATTACTCTAATGGTGATATCATTGATGGGCCTTTTGGCATTTGGTTCCAAACCATCGTTTGCTACTTATTTTCCATGCTGGATTGCTGTAATCTACTACTAAACATTCTGAAGCAGTGTCTTTAAGTAATGATAGGATTGACGAATATGTGTCGTTCATGTTACTGAGATATATAGCTTATATGTTGTTATGTGCATCACGAATCTACTTCACTATATCTTAGCTTAACGACATCAATATGGTTGTTAACTCAATCTTACTATTTTCTTTTTTCAGATAATCATTAAGTAATGAGCTCTGATATTAAAATCTCCCATAAAACACATATGTGATATTAATTTAGGATTTTTTGAAAAACATGTGATAGTAATTTAGCATGCATTAAACATGTGACAGTAATTTAGGATACATTACGATACATATGTGACAGTAATTTGGGATACAAGCATATTTATTTCATCTTATGTACAAAGACTAAAATATGATGGAGGAACTTTGATAACTCCAAAAATAACGTCATCATCAGTTTAAGAAACGATATTATCGATTTCAGACCAGAGTATGTTAACAGAGCATACCTGAATAATAGTTACATAAAATGAGTTATAACTATTTAGACAGCATCTTTTTTTGTCGTCGTTCAGCACCATACGTAATTATATGGTCTTTCTTCCAACCAGACCTGGAAACCCCTACGTGACCAATCCAATGACGTCACTCTGATGATCGCTTTAGAAGATCTATCCCTTTAAATCAAAGTTTGAGATGAAATTGATGCTAATTTGGATGCAACTTGCGGTGATGGAATCGGTGTTGGACAACTTAATTATGACGTGCGATCTCTAAGGTTCTGCAGAATATATATACGTATATATATATATATATATATATATATATATATATATATATATATATATATATATATATATATATATATATATATATATATATATATATATATATATATATATATATATAATGATGTGAACGGATTAAGCTTACTTTGAGCTTTTATACGAGTTACCGATGACCGTATAAAAAATTATGCAAATGTTCTGCAGAACCTTGCAAGTTTAATCTCGAAAACTTGAAGTTCGAGCAAACAGTAAGGACATTAGTGTCTACCAAATGAATGTGAAATGTGTCTGATATCGAGACAAATAAATATTCGATTTCGACGAAGGGTTATTACAATGTTATAAATCATTCCAACATTGATTCTGACCGCCACTATTGCTATAGCAAAAACAGCAAATTTGTTTCGGTCATTAGAGGGAAAAAGAACTTAAAGATCCTGTGGAACGCTATTGAACGCCATATAGGTTTTGCGATCGGAACATTGCCCAGCCATTTCCGTTCCGTCAGTTCATTATAAAACTTCGGAAGTAATTGGTGGAATATACTTCAAGTTTTACGTGTTTGGTGAATGTGCTCTGTAGGAGTACAGCACATATGTTAACACAGCAAAGACAGAGGACATTCCAATAATGATTTTGTCTCCTTCCGCCGCCTTGTTGTTTGATGTAAAGGAACGAAGTTCCAAATATAGTTCTCAATGGCGACGAATTAAATCTTAGCTTTCACGCTTTGACTGAAAAGGACAAATATGGTCCGATTTACACCTTTTGCTTCTTCTTATCTTAATCTTGATTTCGATGGTCTACTTTGTGTCAATTTTGTGTTTTAACATTTTGAAAATTTTTTGTTCTATAAATTGTCTGTCTACATGTATGTGTCTTAGATGTCATACACAATAACTTAGATTAATGTTATACATATAAAACCATACTAAGCAATACATACTCCAAACGATATTAAAGCCGCTATTAAGTCTCAGAGGCTGTGTGTATTCTTTCAATAGAGTGTTATGTTACTACTAGTTTAAATGGACGTATTTTATTGCTGTAGATGCACACAAAGAAATCAAGCAGAATTTGAGGAAATTAAGACCTCGGAAACAGCTGCTACCTTCCACTCTAAAATAAGTTGTGGATAAGCAGATTAAAAATGACCCAAATTTTCATTACATTCTAACATAGTCGTAAATGTTTAATTAGTTGATTCTCGATACGTCTAAAAAGAGGCCAATCAGAATGCAGTCCGTTGATGTGTTTATAAACAATCGTTTGAAGAGGGACTATATTTAATGTTGATAGAAGAAATTGGCATTGTGGTTCTAAGTATGGTGCCTGCAAAAGCTTTAACACTTGTGCAGATTTACATGTGAAAATGGTCAAGGCACATGAAATGGACAGTTCATGGTTGAGTTTTATTTTGTTTCTGAAAGTTAAATGAAAACATTTGCAGAATAGCGCCTTAGATGTCATATATATTTCTTATTTATTTTGTCACTAAAGAGCATTCGTTAGGTCTGGTCCTAAACAATTGTGGTTGGTTTTTAATATTTATCTAAGACTCCATACAGCAGTTAAGCTTCTGTTTAATCTTTATTTCCTTGAGCAAATTGTTTCTGAAAGCAATATGGAAAATAACCTTTGCATTTCAGTCGATTAATTGTTTTCACCGGCGACATCGCAAAGCAAACAAACAAGTCTTCCGTGCTGAGGTCCGTGCCGTTTTCTATTTATTTTGCTTCTGGCATAAATTGCGCAGTATTTAAGCATACAGCACATATTTATACGTACCAACATGTATTTTAGATGCTATATTTATAGTTCTGATAGATGTAATAAAACGGTTGTATCATTTCTGGCACAAATATAAATATGGAATAAATAAATAATCCCTATCAGACATCTAACATTAGAAGTGTTCAAGGCACGGATGGACACAAAAGCTCAAGGCGTAATTAGGCAGCTAGTGAATAAAATTGACATTGAAATTGATTCTTACCCGAGCGAACGAAGAATGATAATTAGAAGCTACAGCCTCAAGCTCGCAGTGCATTAATCTTAAGGAGACATCGCAGAATAGAGTTCTTGACTGGCAATTGGAACTATTTCCATGTGAGACTGGCCATTAAAGAAACTACTCGACACTTCCATTGAGCAAGGAAGAAAGAAGATGACTGATTGTGAGAAAGGCAAATCAAGTGCGCAGCAGAATCTTAGAAGATATGAATGAAAACTGTTATTCAATCAATTACCCAGTAATGCCGAATGTCTGCAGTGACTTTGTGTAGGCTGTGATGAGACGGGGAATATGTTTACGAGCAAATTAGATTCTTTAATGTTCTCTCGAGGCGAGGACTGTAAGATGAAACATTCCAATTAATAAGGAATCAAGTATATATAAATAATGGAATTATTTTAACCCTAAACTGACTGGTACAGCAGAAATGTCGAATTATACATGTTATAGTTTCATATGCAGTTAGGAAATGTCGATAATTAATTAAGTGTTGATCCGACCACGAACTAAGATCGTGCATAAAATGTATTTGTGTTCCATTCAGTTAGAAACATGTTGAAAAATGAATGGCTAAGCCATTTTTATTTTGTAAAATAGTTATAGCTTATGACTTGTAATAAAGTCAGCTTTTCATTTTGTGTTCTTTGATTATACTGGTAATAAAATAGAGTATATATATTTAAAGAGAGTATATATATTTAAATGTATGAAATGAAATACGTCTTCATTGTAATATGCCATAATAAATTTGTCAAAGTCCATTAATAAGTTTTGATGCTGATATCTGTATCTTTATTATTTATGTTATTGCTTCTGCTAATGCCAGGCGATAAATTTTAACACTTTCAGAAAGTTCAAGTGTATAAAGTAACAACATTTTTAATCACAAGACTTACCTTTCTTGAAGTCTTTACATATGCAGGTGTCTTTCTTTGTTCTTAATATGGCAACGTTAAAAAAAATCGAGCACGTAAATCTTCTTGCAGTTCCTGTGAGAAATTATTACTTACTTTGAACCCAACGTACAATGCTGACAAAATTGAACGGTAAGAACAGAATCCGTTAATGAAGTCTGTGCTACATAGATTCATGGTTGCCTTAACTTACGAAGGTGAACAGATAACCACATATATTTCCTTTCATTTACATTAACTATAAATATTCCTCGATTTACTTAAAATTGTGAAATTTACAAGGATTATGGAATTAATAAATGTAAAATAACATCCTGTACATTCTCGTGTATATTTTTGTTTCAACAACTTTTTAAAGACGTTGTTAAACGTTTATGGTATAATACAACATAAAGAAGTCTGAACGCTGAGTGCAAAAACGTTCACACCTGTATTATGCAAACAATTTAATAAAAGACCATTGACTTTATGTGATTGACATTCAAGGTAAGTTGTAATGACTTGAGTATAATTGCAAACTGTATCCGGTCGAACAATTTACCTTCAGTAAATACACATGTTGCTGAGTAATTCCTATTATTCTGGCCGATACATATTGATAGGCACCAAGCAGAGGGAAATTATATAATTATATAAAATTAATTTGACACCACACTTTAATGTAGAATTAACAATTTTCCGCTCATATCGATACGATGTCTGCAGTGTTTCGGTTTACAGTGATGTCTAGCACTGGGGCATTATGCCGCACACATGTAGCATGATGTCCCACCCAGTCACATCATCCTGACGCCCAGCCGAACACTAACCTCTTAATCCTGAGCGTCAAGCGAGGCAGCTGTTAGTACTATATTTGTAAGTCTTTAGTATGACTCGACCGGGGATCGAACCCACGACCGCCCGCATATGAGGATAACGCTCTAACCACTAGGCCACTGGAGCAGTGTGTACGAGTTTGTGTTAATCGTACAAATCAAGTTTACTTTCAATTATTCAGGTCTGAACTTTGTCATAAAGTAATTTTCCAACGTTCACAATGTTCTGTAGTGTGAATTTGAATGCAGCACACGATACCAATCAAAGTCTTAACACCTGGGGTTGGGCATGGTGGACGAAAGCTTTATCTTTAGATAAGTAATATGTAAATTATTTAATAAAATACTAACAGGGTGTAAAAGTTAGTGTAATTTGCAACTGAATTCCGCTTTTATTTGCTGTATAGTAAGCAAATAGGTGACACTGAAAGTTATGCATACTCACTGAACGTAACTATTTTTTTCTCGATTGAATATATTCTACACAACAAAAGGCATTGCATATATTCTACACAACGCAATGATCTCTGTAGACGAGCGGATATCTTTTATTATTCATTAAAATAAAATAAATATTTTGCTGTGTAGCAGAATTGAAACCGAGTGGGATTTCTCTGTTTGGGCTAAATAAACAACAATAAACACAAATCGATGAATGATTGGAATTTATAAAATGAAATACTATATATATATATATATATATATATATATATATATATATATATATATATATATATATATATATATATATATATATATATAAATTATATACACTGAATCTCACAATTCTATCATACAATTGATGCAATTTATCTTAGATACACTCATAAAATTATAAAAAAAGAAAACAAAATACAAAAGTATGATTCATTGGCATCTAGCTTAAAAGAAATATATCACATATTATAGAAAATGAAAAATGAGATTCACTTAATCTCTTGTCGACTAAGCTCCCATAATATCCACTATCCAATAGGTTACAATAGTGTCCACTAAGCTCCCATAGTATCCACTAATGACCAATAGTTTCCAACAGGCTACAATAAGTTAAAACAAAACAAAACTATTTATTACTAAAATGGTAATAACAAAGCAAGCACGGTAACAAAGCTTTACCACCCGACATAACATAAAACCGAGAAAAGGTTTCCCAAATCAAATAAAGCAAATCTTTGTCACTTACCCATATGGCCTGAGACGATGGTGGAAAATTCGCCCACCACTGAGAAAATCCAAAAGACTTAAGCTTGATACATTGTGAACTGAGACCTAAGTCCATATGAGTGAATAATAGTTATGGTCAAATGTTCATGTAAACCTTGCTTTTCTGTGACTTTCCGCCTGCACGTAATTTCGAAATCACTTTACCTGTAGCAGAGTGATTCGGCCCAGGTAACTTTGTAAGCCTCTACAACGAATAAGGTGAAAAATAGATTCAAGGCAAAAACCAAGTTATTTATAGCCTTATTATGTGACATGCTGAATCAAACAATGTTCAGTATCATGTACGGCATATGTGTTGCATCAATGCAAGTTCTATATTTATCTGTAGATAAATATAAAATGAAAAAAGTAGCCAAATATTAACCTGATGCTGAACTTTGACAACGTTTGAAGGAGAACAACTGAAGAGTAAGTAAGTGCTACAACTGGGATGCAATCAAAAAATCTCTTACAGTGGTATACCAGCTATCGTTCTTCAAAAGTGAATGGGAAATGATTACATACATACATACATACATACATACATACATACATACATACATACATACATACATACATACATACATACATACATACATACATACATACATACATACATACATACATACATACATACATACATACATACATACATACATACATACATACATACATACATACATACATACATACATACATACATACATACATACATACATACATACATACATACATACATACATACATACATACATTATTTTTTTCTGGAAAATCTGAGATCATGAGTTAAGATTGATTTTAATTGTAACAGCTGTATTGAAGCCGGTGTGGAACCAAGAAACACTTTGTGACTAAGTGATGGAAAAGCGAAATTATGGAGCATCTGTGATAAACTAACATCATGTAACGTTCAATAATTAGATAGGTGGTCAAATAAACTCTCAGTTTATCTACCATTAGTAGGTTAGCGGTCAAAATATGCACTTTTGATTAATTAAATTAGAATTATTTCATTGAAAATAAAAGTGGCATGAAAAAATATTCTCTGTGTTGATTTTAGCAACAACATTGGGAAATAAGTTAAAATTGGGAAATGATTCTAATATAGGGATGCATCATATGATCTAATTATTTCAAAGAAGACTACGACGTGTAGAAATACTTCATTACAAGTTAAGATATCTATACCAACATTAATCATTCCTACACCTCTTGCTCAACCAAACGTTATCATGGCACTGGAGGTAAAATGATTGTGCTGTCTAATTCATAAGCTATTTAAATCTCAATGACATCAAAGTCGCAAACAATTTAATGTCAGATATTCAAGTTTCTATTTTCAGTCCTGAACATTATTCAGGGTATAGTGACCATCTATTGACGTTCATTATGAGTTCGTGTATATATTTCTGATTCGTGATCATGTCACAATATAAAACCCATGGCTCCATAGATCACGACCTTACTGAGATTGGGTATAGCTATCATCTCTTCATTGTCTTATATTGTCCCAGAAAGCCATAATTTTCTCTCGTTCATAAATTGATATCTTTTATGCTCACAGTTGACAGTTTTTCCTCTAAGAGCAATCAACAGTTATTAACCCAAGATGTTTTATTTGGACCGAGATCAAATAAACCTATGAAAGTTTCATTTGCAAAACAAGTCGTAACCTAATTTCTTTCATTGGTATTGGGTTCTTTACTACTTTAACCATTTGATGGCAGTAGCGGGGAAACACAAAAAGGTTTCTATAGCACCGACAGTTATATATCTGTTGATAATTTAATAATCGTTGATAAGAACACATTTTTGCGAAGATTCAGTGCTGTAAAAACATTCATATGCGGATATGTCATAAACATTTCTCAGATAATAGCATTGTATTAAAAAGAAAAGAAATTAGCAGATGTGTTTATTTATTTCGTTTCCAAGTCGATTCTTTATTCAATCGTTTATAACTCCTTTATTTTATTATATGATTTAATTTGTTTCTTTCAGGCTGAAGTTGTTGTCCTATAATACATTTTATTTAATACCCATCTAATATTTAATGGTTAATATGTCGCTCCATACCTATGTTCAGTCCGTATTACACACCCTGATTAGAACACTTTGAATGTCTACCTTGACGCTCGTGTATCGCTATTTTTAGAGTCATTAAACCAGAATTGTTCCTATAGATCTTTATTTGTTCTTAACTGTTTTCATTGCTGTAAAACTACATATATTTAGAAAGCGTAAAAGACGTGGTATGAAGTAGAAAGAAAACCGAATTCGTGTTTTGTTTCGATGGGGTGGGTGGGAGAGAATTTGTTTGCTATAAAGTATGTTAACTCGTCTCGGCCTGAGAGCCTTGACATATCCTTACAACGCATCATTGCACCGACTAAAAAAGCCATGTAGTTTACTATGTTTATTTGTATTGTTTCATACTCCTAAATACATCCTTCATGGATATGGTTTACATTTTTGTTTGTCTAAAATAATAATGGTACAAATCTAAGGTTATTTATTACTGCTTTGGAATTGCATAACTTTAGCAATGCATAACTTTGAAATTGCATATCGTTGGTATTGTATAACAATTTATTAAAATGTTCTAGACTTTCCAGCTTGTAAAAGCGAAACTTTAAACGTATGATGCATTTGTTCTTTTATATGTTTCTGGGAAGAAGAACTCTTTCAGAGTTTTAAGCTATTTGTCTGGAGAAACAGTGCAAACCAACACGAAGTTTATAGCTTGTTGGCCTTATATATGAGTCTAAACAGAGCTCTTTCTAAGCTGCTTGCAGAATCAATAACGTGTATTACTTGTTTGACAATGGTCGTACATCAGGCGCAGAACGAAATAAATTGTTGTTAATGAACCGTGTTACAGTTTTTGCTATGATGCGTCTGAGATTAATTGCTGACACTCATGACCTTGGAAACAGTTGCGTAAGAACTTTACCTGGAATTTCGAACTGCCATAAAATTTCACTACGAGTTATACCAAAATCGTCGTCATTTGCGAGTGATAATTGTACATATAATCATTTGGGTATACAAAGTGGAAATAATGTTTCCGTTAATTCTTCATAATTTGTGTCTCGATTATAAATATTGACAGAATACAAATAAACTCTATCCTTCGGTATCGCCACCTATCTTCATCCTTCGCACGTACTATGATATGAAAAATGCATTCTGGATCATACACATCAATACCCCTTAGCGCGTATCAAATATGGGAATATGCATATCGTATTCGGTGTAATACATACATTTAACTTAATAAATGCACACTCCTATTCGGGCCAAACTCGCATACAAACGTTCGTTACCACTTTTCAGGTAACACAATATACTCGTGTTTCTAATTACAGATAAACGCTGATATTGTTGTACCACTATAAATTGCATGAAATGAAACATTATATTAATGGTTGCTCTCTTGTAAAATAATCATTTGGGTGATTTAGTTTGAGGATATTCAGTCAGTTTTAACTAAAAAAATGCTCATTTGCTGGTGTTTCCAAGGCTGACATTTCCGTGGTGGGAATGGGAGAAAAGCGCCCACTCCTCCAGAAATGCCCCACACGGCTTGCGGCTCTGATCGCTTCTGTCAATTAAAATCCAGCTCCTGCCCTTCGCGAGTGGATTGGCTATTAAGTCCGGCAGACTATGCTTCCGCTAAGACCAGTAGCTTTCGGGTAGATGGGACTCATAAACATTGGATGGTAGCTCGTCTAGGAGAAGAAAAACTCCGATCCCAAACCTGTGCTGCTTTGGGGTTATACCCACTCACGGAAAAAGCTAAGATAGCAAACCCTGAGAGAAATTCCTGAGATGGAGTCCCTAAGGCAGTCTGACACTGACTTCAACGGCATTCCGGCAACTCCTGCGACTCCTTTGGTGCCAAGTTGTATCGGCATTCGTCGT